TTTGATAAATAAAATGGTATTTTGATAAATGGATAATATTTATTATAATACTTATTATCCATTTTTCAAACAATCACATACATGTGATAAGGCAGAAATAGAGCGCAATAGAAAAAAGCATATTTCTAAAGGATCCAGAAATTCTGTTTGATGTTCAGGAAAAAAAAAATTAGAGGTGTTAATGCACAGTTTTTGCTTTTCAACAAATAGAAATTGCTTCGCTTTGCAGGAACCATAACAAATGTTTTCTTTTTTCAGCTGTAGTCTACAATTAAAACATGTTCTGCAAACTTGTGTCTTCTTTATGTTTAAGGAACTGGACCGTAGATATACTTGTGTATTCTCCACAGTGTCATTATTTAATATTACGTGTTACATTTCACCAGATTAACCAAGACCAACTTTGCATATTGGTTTTCATCCATTGTACTGTTTGTGAAGTATATGAGGCAAAAAGGCATTACAGAGAGAGTTATATTGTGTTTTTAAGTCTCAAGTACAGATATTTAGAAAAAACATGGATACCACAGTTACTCTTACTATTATAAATAAAATAATTTTGCCTACATAAGTATTAATATTTTTATGTACAATGTTTCAAAATATACACAAATTTGTACAGATAAAACAAGCAGGATACAGTCCTTCAGTAAGGATAATGAAAGCAGTGTCCTGTTAAAACATGAATTCGCCTTATTCGGCTTATTCAGTTGCAGGAAATATCATTTCTAAAATTAAAATATCGATATCTTTAATAATAGATCCAAATACTGAGCAGTGATTTTCCTACCAAGGAGTCTCAAAATGGTATTTAAAAACTAGAAAAGTTTAATGAACACCGGACTACTGTCAATGTAAATTTATGCCAGAATAATGATCATGAACAGGTTGAAAGGTGCTGCTGCTTTTTGACAATAGAAATTATAATCAAATAAGATCAAATCAATAAATAATCTTACAGTAATACAGCTATTGTTATACTAGAGATACAGCTCCATCTATAGGAGATAAGATGGTACTGCTGCATATAAGCCACCTTTTCTCAACTCAACCCTACTTTGAATCAGAGCTAGAACACCGAGATATGGAGACAGAAAGAACACTTGTACTGGGAGCGTTTGAGCAGTCCTTCTCCCAATTTGCCGCAGAGATCAAAGAGGCCTTCAAATAAAGAGCTATCTGTGGCAAGACTGAGGCAAGGTAGCAGCAGAAGGACAAGATAAGCAGCTTTATCTTGTCTTCAGAGAATTGAACTTAAATGTTCTTTCCTGTTCTGTCCTCGGTGTTTTTGTGATGGGTGGGTGGGTGCCCCCCGGTCCCCCCATATTGGCCTAATTTATGTCACTGAGCCAGGTAATTGGCAATCTCTGTACCTTCTTTTATCCAGCAGCTGCATTGAAGACTTTTTCCTTGGTCTTTCTTACTAAGAAATTCTTTTAATCACTTTTGATTCTATCCACACGTTCCAAGTTGAATGTGCTTCTAAAGCAAGACTGTCAAGTCCACGGTCCGGATGCATCATGCACTGGTCATGCCCACACCCGATTTAGCGAAGGTGGGAAAAGTCCCGATACGTCACATGATGCTGCCGTGATGACACGAGTTTGACACCCCTGTTGTAAAGTTTTAGATATATCATGAAACCAGAGCTGTGGTAAAAATCCATTTATCAGGAGAGAGTATCAAATTTTCTTTATAATGCACCAGAAACATTAAGCCTGATGGATATCTCTTATATAATTTTAGGTATTTCCAAATTTTACATATATGCAAAATCTGGCCATTTTGGAAATAGAAATAGTCAAGTTTAAATGCCAATCTTCTACTTAATACATTTTTCTTTACATCGTATGTATATATCCCAGCAATCTTTCATTTTTGTTACATTTATTTTTAAAAATCTTCTCTGTTCTTCTGCAGGTAAATCTAGAATGTATTAATCTTTCTGCAAGGCTTGGCTCTTAGCTAGCATACAGTGTGCTTCGTATTATTAGCCTTATTCTACTATTGCCATTAATTGCTAGATTTTTTTTAGGCTTCTTTTATGACTCACGGCAAGTTTAGGAATTTTGATGGAGACTAAACAAAACTGGTGGCAACGCTTTTATTTACCAGAACTGATTTCCCATCTTTTTCTCTTTGCCCATACCCTTCCTTTTAACTCTTGGTTTTGGTAAGGTTTAGCTTAATTTTTAATGGTGTGAATTGAATATTTGCTCTCAGTGTTCACTGGTGGAGAATTATGTTGAACCCTCATTTTTATTCTTTGTTGATAGAGTATTATTCATCACATTTTCTTTCAAGGAAAAAAAAGTAGGCTGACTTTTCATTGGTTAAATGTTGCCAGTGTGTAATTGGAAACAGTCATTGTTGTGCATTGCCAGTTTGACTGCTTTGCTTCTGTTTCATAGGTCGATGCTGGTTAGATGCCCTGGAATTGGCCTTGCGCTGCTCCAGCCTCTTCAGGCTAAGTGCTTCTAAGCAAGCGAAAGATGGAGATCTGAATTGCTCAAATGATTCTTCACACGCTGGGCTGTACAACTTGCTCCACATGGCGACGGTCTCAGATCAGGAACTTTTCCAGTAAGAATGAGCTTCTTTCAACTGTATATATTCTGAAGTTGGAAATGCTTCCTACATGGAAGTGGTCTTCCCCGCTCCCAATTAATCCACTATTATCTCTTGTCTAATTGATCAAACTATAGTAGAGTGATTTCTTTCCTTATGAAAAAGAAAAATGAAAGGATAAATAGGATAGACTTGGGTTAAGGAAGTTGGCTGCATCGTTGCTTCTCCATATTATAAATTTCCAGTATTTTCTTTTGGGAAATTTTTTAGCAAGTTGCACCAAAATGTTATGCATGTATACTCAAAAGTGACGCTTCTAACAAAGAATGTATATATATGTAACCTTCGATGGAATCTATTTAGTTTCTTCCACTAATAAAATTGTTTCTGGCACTAGAACCAAGAACAAAACATATATGGTCATCTAAACAATATTCTTTGTTATATATTTTTTGTATTATATTTTCTGTAATAATGTTAGAACGTATCATCCACTTGCTGCTTTGGAATCAATTCTGGATTGTGTATTCATCCACCATTTCCCATGTCTGCATTGCCCATAGTAGCAAGAATGGATAATGGCCATTTGTTTAGATCAGGTGATTGTTTTTCCCACATGGCCACACGGAAAACTGGCACTGTTGTGGAGGGCCAAACTAATAGGGCTGCTGCTATCACTGCCGCCACTACCACCACCATAGTCATTGCCACGGGCCACACAAGAATAGCCAAAGGACCAGATGTAGCTCATGGGCCATAGAATGCCCAGATTTCATTTAGATGGCTATAAAAACATTTAAGTATAAGTATAATCTTTATTGTCATTGTACTTAAATACAATGAAATTGGTTATTTATTTATTTATTTAAATATTTATTGGTTTATTGGTTATTTATTTCAGGAATAAATTAGGAAAGACTAAGGCAATCTAAAATAGCACCACATTCAAAAGCAACTTCCTTCAGAATCTTAGTGACTGGGAAATGACAGTAGCAGTGGTGGGTTNCCCCCACTATGAGAAGAGGCGTATCAGGTAAGTACCAACGCCCTTTTTGTATTAACTGTTTGGAGAAAAAAGTGAGGAGTAGGTGTATCTCCCCAAATTTCACCATTGCTGAGGGTCTTGGATTGTTTGCTTGAGATTCCTAAAGCAATAATTCATCTTGCTCTAAGTAGAAAGATCCGTATGTTTCTTTTGCCTGTATTCTTCGCATACAGAGCCTGTCATTCCGTACTAGATTCTTTTTGTTTGGTTTATATTTTGTACGGGGAAGAAAACTTCTAAGAAATTTGATGTAATGTTACAGACCTCTGTCTGTTTATGATTATGTATTCCCACATAATTTCTTTTGAGAAAGAGAGAGGTAGGGATTGCATAAAGACAGGGTTTGTTTAACTGGGGTTTGTTGAATAAACTGTGACTGGCTGTAATCACACATTATATTAAACCATAAATTTTGGTTAGCAGTGGGCAAAATGTCTGGGTTCATCCAAAGCAGTCTCTCTTTCCCCACCCCACCCTCTCTCATACAGCGACCCATCTCCCCAAGGCCAACTCTAAGGAGCACAAAACAAAATAGTTTACAATAGAATAGAATATCAGTGGCTTACGGTGGAACTAGGGTTGGATCCTTAGTGCTCTCTGAGTTTCGTTATTTGCTTGCAGATATTACATTATCCAACTAGATAACTTCACAGTGCTAGTGAGTGTGGAGTTTGCTCGCTGTTTATAAACAATCGTCAGTGTTGATGGAAGTGTGGTTTTTCTTCTTAGTAGTTCCTTGATTGAGATATTGTTTTCTGCTTAATGGTCTAAGATACAATATAGCTTAATATGTGAATCCAGTTGTACTTGTAACTATTTTTTATTTAATATAATCATAACAGCTGGAGTATTTAGAAAGTATTACCCTTATTGTATTTGTTTTCCTTTCTTTAATAAAGGGGCAAGGAACATATACTGGTCATTAAAAGAAAAGCTTGATCTTCAAGTTGATACCTATTTAACTGGAAGCCTTAACTCTTAACTCTTGGTTGGTGGCTTTTTAGAAACGAAATAAACTTGCCCTGCATGTGATGCCTTTTGCCCAGAAAAGGAATAAAGGAAAGCAAGAAAATGAGGGAGCAAAGTGTGTATCTGGATGTGACTCTAGCTGGTAGGAGGAAACATTCAGATCAATCCATGTTTTGTATCTATGACAGCCATTTTATGAATGGGCAGGTTTCCTTCCATAAGCTATTTTATGAAAGCACCACAACTTGATCCCAAAGTATCAAATATTCCCATTAGTCGAGAAATGTCTGGAGCCCTAGTGGAAGTTTCTACTGCTCCAGATTTCTCTTATTTATAAACACATTTACTTCAGTTTTTGAAACTCATTCAAAAATGTACTATTATGATAAGATCTACTGTTTCTAGAGTTGGACTAAAAAGATACAATCATATTAGTGTCCTGGAAAATAGCGTTGAACAGAGGTGAAGAGACTGGTCTGCAAAGCAGGAAGACAAGTTAAAATCCTTTCCCAATCCACATGGAAGCTTTGATAGCTTCTGCCTCTAAGGTTGTAAAGATCAAATAAGGGGGCAGATTCAGATCCCTTCTAGTAGTCCCCAAACATCTGCTTAACTAGTTGTGAGTTGAGGGAAATTCTACATGGAACCAAAGACAGAATAAACTCTTCCCCACCCTCTATTTCAGAAGCACAAGCCCAATAAGACTCTGAATGTGGTGGCATCCCCGTTTTTCAGCTGCTGATCGAATCACTTAAGTCCAAGTGAAATCAGTGGTGTTTTAGTAGCAAAATTGTGACCAGGGCTTCAGTCTTTGGGTGGAATTGGGTTCCTTGAATGGAAGAAAGGTTAGAATGCTTATGCCCTAAATAAAATATGGAATTTTAGACTTTGTATAATCTTTTCAATTTATATAGATTTTAATCAGATTTTAAGAAATTTGGGGGGGGAAGTATAATTTCTGTTCTGTTGTTTAGAGCTGAGCAGTTTCTCATAAAGAGGTTGAGCCAAAGGTTAGAGCAGCTAAACTTAGACTGACTCTATCTTAAAATCCCTAATTAGGGAGTTGGATGATAAATAGTTGCATGACCTCATGCAGCCATGATATAGTTATGTAACTTTGGCACAGAACTTTGCAACCAATCATATCTTGTGCCTATTATAGACAGGTTTGTCAGCAATCTTTTTCTCACTGCTAGAAGGATAACACTGGTCCTCTTTAAAATGGTTGTTGAACCCAAGTGAGTATGAATGATGAATGATGAATGAGTGATGAATGTACATGGAGACTCCTCAAGAGTTTGGTGAGATTTTCCAGAATAATTAGACTAGCTTCTTTTAAATAGGGGTTTCTGGCACTACCATTCTCTCAACTGATTTAATTTTATTGTTCATTTATATACAGATAGATTATTACTGATATTATTTGCCTTTCCACTAAATGTTCATGATGTTAAAACTGTTAAAATGTATTCTTTTTTTAAAAAGAGGAAATTAAAATAAGTTTATCTTCCTCAGACTCTGAAATCAGGTTTATTTGTTTTTGAGGGATAATGAGTGGTTTGGATGGTTTACTCATGGTACGTATCATTCTGAGATCTCAGTTGGAAAGTTTGAAGCTTTGTTTCAAAAACTTCAGCTTTTCTGAATTGGATTCTTCATTGTAGTGATTGTATTTTTGAAATCTCAGCTTTGATGACCTGAGGTGTAGGAAGAACAGTAGTTTTATGAAATCAATTCTCAGATGATAGAAATTAGTGTCTTCTGTTCACTGGCTTTTATGACTGAGATCCACAAAGCTCCATTTTAGCTCCAATCTTGCTTAACATCCTTTGGAAATGATTGCCTAGATTTCAATGATTTGAGGATGCTGGTAATAAAAGGTGAGAGAGGCATGCTTAGTTATCCTACAATGGGACATTTCAATTATCCTGGCATCTGGTGAAAATATAATTCTGACAAGACTTACATGTCCAACAAATTCTTGTCCTCTCTCGTCAGAAAAGGCAAGGAAAAACAGAATCTACTATCTTTTTTTAAAGTAAATTTGGTAATGGTCAGTGGTGAGAAGACAGAGCTTCTGTATTTTTATTGTTTATCTGTCATTTCTCAGTAGGGAAAATGGTGCCTAGTTCACTGTTGTGCCCTTGAGGAAAGGAAGGATATTGAGCTTAAGCTAAACAAGGAGAGGGTAAGAGATATTTTTGCTAATTTAAACTAACTTATCTTTCTCAGACTCTGAAATCAGTTTTATTTGTTTCAACCCAGGATATTGAATGAACTAGCAGACGTGATTATAGAATTGCTGTTAGGAATTGTTGAGAATGTGTTAGATTGGCAAGGTCCCAGAAGATTGGGAAGAGCAAATGTTGTCCACATTTTCAAGAAAGGAAAATATAGACCCACAATTTGATATCTATACCGGGCAAGATCCTCAAACAGATTATTAAAAAGCATTTATGAGCTCTTGTGTAGGCATGCTGCAATTAACAGAAGACAGTCTGGGTTTCTCATAAACAAATCTTGCCAGACTAACTTCACCTTTTTATTTGTTAAGTACGTTAATTTAGTAAAGCATGAAATCCATGGACACAATACATCTAGATCTCAGTAAAGCCTTGGACAGTCTTTCTCAAAAATCTTTGTTAATAAAATGAGAAAATAAGAGCTAAAGAGAAGATTCAGAAAGATCCAAACAGGTTGGAACAGTGTGCTGAAATGAAAAGGAGACCTTGTTGACCACAAATTAAACATGAGCCAATGGTGTAAAGCAGCTGCCAGGAAGACAAATACTATTGCAGGATATATTAATAGGAGCATAATGTTCAGATCATGGAAGACATTGTTCAGTTCAATTGCTCAATCTGCCCTTATCAGACCCTATTTGAAATATTTTGCCCAATTCTGGGCATCACAATTTAATAATAACCATGATAGATTAGAACAAGTTCAGAAAATGACAGTCAAAATGGATCTTGAAAATAAATCTTAGAAGAAATAGTGA